TAATTTAACTCAGTAAGGTCAGCGGCAGCAAATGAGGCAGGGGAGGAATGGCACCTCAGAGGGAGGGTGCCAGGGCGTGGCCCCGACCCGGAGCCTGCAGAGCCAGAGCTCCTGGCCAAGATCTCCAAGCAGTGCCACCGGGAGCACAGGGAAGATGGTGGCGAGGACTCACTGACTCTCAGCCTGCCAAGGAAGGGGGCTGGACTGGGGCGGTGGAGGAGGAGGGATCATTGTGAGGGCTTCTGAGGAACCGGGATGTGGGTGCAGGGAAAGAAGAAGCCTTCACAGGGACCCTAGGTGGAACCAGAAAGACTCAGGCTGATGAAGACAAAACCCTGCCCCCATCTTCCCTCCCCACAATACCTGCTCTACAGAAGAGAATAACAAGGGCCATGATTGGAACTCAGGGGTTCGCCTTCCCCCAGCACCTGTGAATCCTGAGATCCAAACAGAGAGAGTTCTCCCATGAAGTGGACCACTCTGTCCCATCCCCTTTCACTTCCAAGGATCCAGTAGGGCAGGGGAGCAGAGAATGAAGGAGAAACTGAGGCAGCACTGCCCTCCCTCAGAACCTTCCTCACAGGTTCCTTTCTCTGGCCACCTTCCCCTCTGCAGATCTGCTAGCTGTATGGTGGTTCCCTCCATTTCCAGTGCTATAGGAAGGACTGGAGTCAGACCACAGAAGGGACTTCCCAGGTTAGCATCTTGGTCATAGCCACAGCACAGGCTGGGGTAGGGGAGGCTAAGGAACTTGGGCTTTTCAGAATAGGCCCAATGAGCTGAGCACGATGAGATCAGGGAAGCTGGAGAAGGTGGGCAATTTACTGGGTATGGGGGGAGGGGGTGGCTTTGAAAAAGCTGTGCAATTATCAGAAGCAGTGGCATCCAAATACACTTTAGGATTTATTAGGAAGTTCTTCTGCAGGTCAAACCTCAACTCCTCCTGCTTTCGTTTCAGGCTGTTTCCCTTTTAGGACTCTTTTGGAGAGGGAGAATTTGAATAGTAGGTTTGAGACTTGAGGACAGAGTTTCAATTATCTCTCTCCATGTAGAAGTGTCCTTGCCACTTGGCTTTCCTCCCAGGTTTCTACTCCCCTGTCAACTAAGAATTCAAAAGCTCCCTGAAGAAACCATCAATGTCAATTAGGAATTCTGAGGCCTGCTACCCTCACAGTGCACACCCCTACCGGCCTTCCCAGTTCTCTTGCCTGGAGGTCCCACTCTTAGCACTAGGCCCCCATCCCTGCAGTTCTCAGTGCCTGCCACAAGGTGGCGGCCAACACACCGATTGGTCCAGAGCTAGAGCTGATGCCTCACCAGCGCCAGGACCCTCTCCTCCACCCAGACCTCCACGCATCCCACCCCCTCCTGCCCAGGCAGGATGCCAACCCTGTGGCATCATAGTGGAGCTGCCCGTCACTCCCCACACCAGGCCCAGAATCCCAGGGTTACTAGGGCAGTAGTCTAGAGGGGCCTGTTAACTGGGCCAGAGGCAACCAAGAACAGGAAGAGGAACGGGAGCTGGGGGTGAGGTCTAACCCAGAATAAACACCGGGAAGGTGTTTATTCTGCACTGCCACCTCCCTCCTTGGGAAGAGACCCAGTTGGATGCCATTATCTCTGACATTCTCAGAACACAGAAAACAGGGCAGGGTTCAGTCAATTCTCCACAGCAGTCCTGACCTTCCTGGTGTGTGGAGAGGAGTCCTGGGAGGGAGGAGAAAACAGCCCTGCCCGCAGAAGCACCTTCCATTCAGAGGTGGGAGTGGGAAACAGGGACAAGGTACACAGCTGGAAAGAGGAGACAAAAGAATGAGGAGAGACTTGCAGCTTCCCTGGCAGTGGTTTAGAAAGAGAACGTTTGGGATCCAGAAACAGGAGGATTAATCAAAGAAGATTTCCCAGAGAAGGAGAGTATGGGGTGATATTGCAAAGGGTCAAGAGGCTAGTCTGCAGAAAGAGGAGGAGAGGAAATGGTTCAGACTAGGGATAGACCATGAGGCTAGGAGAGGGCAAGGGAGAACCAAATGCTGGGACGGCTGCCCAGGTGCATCTAAGACAGCAGATGGCGGGCTCCTGCGAGGGGGATGGGAAATTGAAGGAACAGGTGTTGGTGGGTAAGAGGCCTCAAAGGCCAGCTGGGAAGGCTGGGAAGGAGTCGCTGGAGGCTTCAGCGAGAAGAAGGGAGACAGCCCCCCAATTAGCTGAAGTATTCCTCCCTCTCTCCCCACCGCCTTAAAACCAAGAGAATAGAAGCAGAGTCTAGGGTTCTCCAAATGGGACACAGGAAGGATTCCATGACCAGGAGTCAGGGGCCTGGGTTTTCCAGAGGCGGCCACCATGGAGCAGGGGACACTGAGTGAGTATTCCCACCTTTGAGGCTCTGTATGTACAGTAAGAGAGCTGGAACCCACAGTCTCTGAACTCCTGTCTCTGAAATTGTCCTGTTGATCATTGCCCTCCTCCCCAAGAATGGTCCGACCCATCTGTGATCCACCAGGCTTTAGCCCCCCGTTCTCTCAGTGTCCCTAAACTCCAGACCCACTCCCCTATTCAGAGGAAACCGTTTCCATGCCAAAGGGCAGGAGGTGCTAGGTTCCAAGTTCACAAACTCGGCCTGGGCTTACTAGGCACAGGGTGCAGCAAGAGGTTAGACTCAGGAAGAACTTCCCAGCACAAGGGGTCTGAAAGCCTCAGCTTGTATGTCTCCAAGAGACAAGGACATTTATTTTGGACATGTCTGGGTAGTACTGACTAGAGAGAGGAGTTTTCACCGTGGTTATGGTCCCCCCAGAGTCAGAAGGCTTCACACAAAGACTTTCAGGGACTCTACCACCCTAAGGCGGAATGGGTGGAGCCTAGAGCTAGGAATTGCAGCCTGCTTAGAAGACATTCCTAAAACCTGGTGGGGGAAGAGGTGAAGAGTAGGCCTCACTCTTCCACTGTCTGGGCTCCACTGGTCAGAGCAGGGCCTCTGAGCACATCCAATACAAGCCCTGAGTGAAGACCTCAGGGCCCAGTCTTCACCCAGCCTCAGAACCAGGACCCTGACGCATGCCTGGCGGGGCAGAGGCACCCAATGATCAGGCTACCCAATCCCCCACGCCCCAAGCAGAAACAGCCTTCCTCTCCTGGCCTCTCACCTCAGCCCCACCACACACCACATCCTGGAACATGCTAGAGATCTGGGCAAATGAAAGACATCTTCAGCTGTGAGGCTCCCCCCGGGGCACCACACACATCATACACACACTCACCTGCACACACGCAGATACACACACACCGAGGCACACACTCATACATACCCATAGACACATACCTTCAAAATATACACATATCCACAACCAAACATCACAAACATTCTCACACGTATGCAACACAAAGACACATGCTCATAAACTCATACATTTACAGACAAGCATATACACACAAACTTACACACACCCCTACATTCATCAAACACACATGTATACATACATACATGTGTCTCTACTCCTTTCTTCTGACTAAGGATGAAGAGCCCAGCCCTCTAGATTCTAGAGGTCTAGAATGCCCAGGGGGGGTGGGGTGGGGGGGAAGCATGGAAATCCACAGGAAACCTATTTCCAGTTTCCTGACCCAAACTGAAACTCCTTTGCTGTGTTCCCTTTCCTGCCTCCAAGTCTCTGGGACTCTCGCCCACACCAGGGAAGTGGAACCTGCAAAGCTCATTCATTCATTGATACAACAAACATTTTGGAGCACCTATCTGTCACACACACACACACACACACACACACCCCTACGTGCCTGAAGCTGAGGTGGACACGTAAAACAGTGAGAACTTCTGCCCAATGGTGTGGTGGAAAGAGCAAGAGCCCAGGAATCAAGGACCCGAGTTCAAATCCTGCTTTTGCCTCTCAATAAACTGTGTTACTTAGGACACCTTACATAACCTCTCTGAGCCTCAGTTTCATCACCTGTAAGATGGGGTTAAATAAAATTTACCCAATAATTCTGTGGGGATTAAAAGACAGGGAAAGCCTCCATCAGCAACGTGTCCACCGTGGAAAGCACCTCCTCCCCTTCCCCAGTCCCCCGTGGTGAGCGTCTCCCCAACACCCTCCCAGTCCTGCAGTCCTTGAAACAGAAACCCAGTCTCCCTCAGCCTCAGACCCCCAGGTGCGCGCACCTCGGAAAACCTGATCTCGGACTTGGCCGGCTCCATCCGACTCCCCCGCCCCCGCCCCTCCTGGTCCATCATGCCTCTCGCCCGTTTGCAGGTCGCGTTTTCCGTAATAACCTTTAATGCGGCTGGCCACGGCCCAAATGTTCGCAATGGAGCGATGGGCCCCGCGCATCAGATGGACGATGAAGTGTTAATCATCCCCCAGGGAGCAGTCCCGCGGAAAGTCGTCATTAATTTCTCTGAATTACACCAATTCCGAGACATTCTTTATGGACAGACAGTGCGGGAGACAGTTATATGACAGGACTTGCTGTGCTAAGCAGATGTGGGAGAGATTGCGTCGCCCCATGAATACTAAACAATCGCTCGGAAGAAACCCCACTAGCTTCTGCTCTCGGGGCTGGGAAGTCGCCCAACACACCCCCACCCCCATGGGCACACCCACCCCAGCTTCTTAAGTGGCCTCCTCAACTCCCCTCCAGAGTCGCGCCTCTGCCTCAGAGTGGGAAGTGGCTCTGGGGGTCTTACCCTCACCTTCCTGGGACCCTCCAAGGACCCACAAACGCCCTTGCTTTCTCTGCCACAGCCTTTGCTCCCTACATTCCTTCCAGAGCCTGACCTGCTTCCTGAACTCCTGTCATCCCCACCCTGATCCTCCTCCGGCTCTCCTTCTAGAAGACTCACCACCCTGACCATCTCTGAGTTTCCATCTGGCATCGCCCCATCCTCGTTCTTCCACCTCCCCACCCCACCCCATCTCTCTACCACTCCATCCTCCTCCACCTGCTCCATCTCTCCACCTCCCCACCCCGTCCCACCCCCATCTCTCTGACCCCCTCATTCTGCCCACCTCCCACTCTGCTCCCTTCCCCTCCTGGCTCACCTCCCCAGCCTGACCACCTGCTTCTCTTACCCATCTCCCAGCGGGCTCTGCTTTCCCATTACCTCCATCTCTCCAACCTGCTGCATTCTACCATTTTGCCCCATTTCAAATCATTGCCCCTACATCTGCTTTCACATCTCTGCCACTCTTCAGACTCTAGAGGGGAAGGGCGAGGTTCAGAGCAGAATGAAAGGAAGGTTTGCCCCCCCTTCCTCTCTCCTCAAGCCCTCTGCCTGCCCTCCTCCCTCTCTTCCTTCTGGCAGACAGGACAAGCGTAAACGAGAGCTGAAGAGACTTCTCCCCACAAGCAAAGCGGTGGGTGGGAGGTGGGGGAGGCAGAGGGTGACCAGGGAAAAACCTGCCGAGGCAACTCGGTCACATCACACCTGAGAGAAGCCCCGCCCACTAAGGCGCGCCCCGCCCCCTCCTAAGTGACCTCGCGAGGCCCGGCCAGGCCAGCCCACAGCTCGCCCCGCCCCAAGTCCGACAGGACTCTTGGCAGCGCTGGGACCTCGGTCACCCCAAAGGCACTCCCTCTCGGGAGAGGGCAGAGGCAAAGGGTGACTGTTCCCCCATCAGGTGGTCTCACCACCCTCGCCTCCACTCGGGCTGGAGGGAAGGGCACCCCCTCTGCTCCTCGCTGGGTTTGGGGGAGAGAAAGGAAAGTGCGCAGCCTCTGCGTCTTTTCCCCTCGCAGATAATTTATGTCTGAGAGCCGAGCAGATGGCGGGTAATTTAGCAATTACCGTGTGCAGGAATGGGACTCGCGCCTCCACACGGAAGCCAAAGATTCCCTGCCGCAGTCTCGCCTTCTTTTCTGCCCGTTTTCTCTATTCTGTCTCCCCTTCCCCACTCTCGCCCCGCCTTGCTGAATCCCACCGCTCAAGGGGAGAGGATCTCCTTCTATGGGTCCCTTTCCTTTCTGATCCCTTCCTGTATCGGCGGAGGATTTCTGCCTCAGTAAACGAGTAGAGCTGCCTGCTCACTGGAAGATCTTCCTCTCCTCTCACCTTAATCCTTCTTGCTGCTGTAAGTGACCACAGTGTTCTGCGAAATTGTGAGGCTCTCTCCCAACCTTCTCCCCTCCCCGTTTCTTCAGGTTTTCCATGATATTTCTCCCAGATATCTAGGTTCCACATCCCAGGCTTCAGAAGAGGCTTCTGGGCTCTTAAGATAGACCCAGGAGCTGAGGAGTTCCGGTCTCTATCTGCAAGGGCGGCAAAGGGGAAGGCAGTGGTTATAACAGTGAGAACGGTGAGAGAGGCTTTTGGAGCTCTGCACACAGTGAGTGTGTAATAAGTGTGAAATGGCTGATTGAGAAGCTGGGCTTAGTGAGGTGAGGGAGGGTAGAGGGGACAGGAATGAGGCTGGAAGGGTCTGGAATGCCTCCTCCCTGTTCCACTCCCTCTTTGGGCCACCTGGAGAAAGGATGCTCTAAGACAAGCCCTGAGCCTGGAGAGCTCCCTAAGCTGAGGGGGCTGTCCTCCCCTCCATCCACCTCCACCAGCCCAGCCCAGGACACCCACCACCAAGAGCCCAGTACCCCACACTCCCTCTCTTCAGCTAGGGCACCCAAGTCTCTGACCCCTAACTCTGCATACCAGCCTGATGCCCCCATTCCGGCAGAACCTTAGGTGACCTCTGGGCTCTGAAGAGCTGGGCTCTTGGGCTTTGAGACACCCCCACCATCACCTCCCCCAGATCCTCCTCATTCCTCAACACCAGAGGAGCACTAATTAATTAGCGTGTGCAACCAGCCATGGGCATGATCTCGTTACTTACCACAGGGACCCGCTGTTAACACACCAGACCCCTGGGACGCGGGCACACACTAATTACACAGCCAGCAGCTCAGCTAATCATAGCTCCTGGTGACACTGTGGCTCACAGAGGAATTCCCAGCTTCCCTCTCCTCTCCCCAACACCCACCCCTCCACACTCCTGCCTCCTAGAACAGAAGGCTGGAAAGGAGGGGGTAAAGACTGGTTAGGAAAAATTGAAACTTGCTGGGAAACAGGAGGCCAGTCATGGAGTAGCTGAGGGGAGAGTGGGGATGAAAAGTTAGAAAGAAAAGAGAACTTTCCTACTAATCACTTTGGGCTACAAACAGTCACTCCGAAATTAGTAACTGCAGCAAGAGGGAGTGCTGGTTAGACTACAGGAAGGACTTCCTGGGGAAGTGCTAGGATCAGATTGGGCCTGGGAAAGAGCAGCTTTTCTCCTTATAAGCAGGAAGCAAGAGACGATGGCCACTGATTTGGAGGAGGAAGGGAGAGAGGGGCAGTTTCAGGAACTCGGGTATCTGGTTCGATCCTGTCCCAGCTGTAGTTCAAGGGTACAGAGAGGAGGCAGCCTCACCACAGACACAGATAGACGGCTTCCCGACACACACGTCCCATTGACTTTGCCATTCCGCTGTCACTCCACAGCTTCTCCAAGATTTAACATATTGACTCTTCGAGCTGCAGAAAATTGAATTTTCTTCATTACGACTGTCTCCCGACAAAAGCAGCTCATAAATTCTCCCATCTTTTTCAGGCTTCCCTCCCCCTCACCACCCAACATCTCTCTAGGGGATTCACATATTTGAACATACAATTCACACAGGTGTAAAGGCAAGGCATGACCAGCACTCTCCAGGGACATACCACCCACCAAGACCATCCCTCGCTGCCCACACCCAGATACAGTCTACAGCCGGACCAGGCCGCTGCTTTCAGGAATGAGGGTGCATGTCTTCTACAACCAGGGTCCGTGTATGTGGTACTCATGTGCCCCATAGAGCAGATACAGTTGGTCCATACCAGGGGACTAAAAGGCCCCATGCCTCAGCCATACGTGTACTTCTCCTGTACCCTAACAGCACTCTCACAGATGTCATTCCCGCATGGGACAGATTCATATATCCTGACATGCAATATTCACTGCAGGTTCACCTCTGCGCTGCCTGGGCAGAGCTAAAGGCCCCTCCCCACAGCATCAGAGCTCTGTGCATGGTCCCACCAGGGGATAAGCCCACAAGTAGGAAACAGGCACAAGTTCACATGATTTGCACAGACACAGAGAGAAGAAGGGAGACATCTCCTAGGACCTAGTAGGGAGTCTTCCTTCACACCATAGCAACTGATGGTGTCTCCTCCCAACACTACCCCCAGCCCATACACACACTAAGGTGGTCCTCCATGGACTGCAGCCTAGCGCCTCCGCAGTCCTCCCCAAGGCCCAGACACCCTCTTCCACCATGGGGGGTGGGTGTTGGGATTGGTTCCCCACCCAAGAGTGTGCTCTCTCCATCTGACTCTCCTTCACTTTGGCCCTAGGAACAGAATTGGGGGAGGTCAGGGCCTAGCAGAAGTTCCTTTTGATACCTGTGCCAGTCTGGCAGCTGAGGCTATAATGGATGGGCAAGAGGCCAGGTTGATGGCCAGCACCATGTGGCTCGTGCCCAGGGCCAGATTGGGGCGGGATGTAGTGGGCTGGGTGCCCAGGCACTCCACCCTCCAAAATGCCACACAATCTGTGAGCGGAAAGAGACAGAAAGAGGGACCCAGATAGATACAGACAAGGACACCCCCTGAGACCAGACTAAGCCAGTCCCTGCCCCCATCCTGGCCCCTCAACAGCTGCTCCCTCCCCCATAACTCTGACCCAGGCACAAAGGGAAGTTACCCTGAAATGGCAGGAGGGAAGCCAACCAGTTTTTTCAAGTATGAAGAGCCCAAATTTACACAACAGGAATTAGGGGTTTGGCGGTGCAACCAGAAAAGAGAAGGATGATTCCTCAATTGGGAGAGGCGCTGAGACTTGGGGGGGCCTTTTTCAATGCATTTTTATGTGCACTAATTAACGTGCAAATGTTATGCATAGTGAGTGCAGATGAACATCTATTGTCTTTGTAATCCCAACCTGCTGCTAATGGTATTTATACAAACACACACACATACCCACACACACACACACACACACACACACACTCTTTATTTTATCTATGATTGGCTCCTCTGTTTCTCCCAATGCCTGAATTTCTGAATCTTCTCCTTTAAGAGCAAGTCTGGAGCAACAGAAAGATGGCCAGGAAGGCCTAGCTCCACAGTACAAGGAATGGCTTTCCGGAGACTGGGAAGTATTTCGGACCATGTATGTCCAGAAGCAGAACAACTTCCTCCACCCAGCCTCAGCCCCACACCTGCTCCTTCCACTAAGGTCCCCATCTCAAGGAGGAACTCCCATCCACCAAGCCAGGAACCTGGGATCAGCCATGACTCTTCCATCTCCCTGGGTTAGGGATAGGACTAGGAAGTCTGTTGCACTCATTGATTTAAGCGACAATTCTTTTAAGCTAAAAGTTTAACTTTTTTAGAGTCACACGTCCATAGGCATCAAAATGACTTGCCTCCCTCTCCTTCACTCCCACAACCTGCCCATGCCACCTCCTAAATAACTCTTGAGCCTACCCACTTGGCTCCATTCTCTCTAGCAGATGAGAAGCAGCTCTCAGCAAGATGACTGAGCTGCCTCCTTACTGCTTTCCCAGGCTCCAGGGTTACCCTCTCTATTCTCATGGCACTGGGGAGGTCTGCAAAGCTTAGGGGACATGCCCACCCACACAATTTCCCAGGGAGAAGTATTTTGAAACTGCTAGAAAGGTGATAGAACTGTCAAGGGCATAAAATCAACGACTAAATTTATGACCATAACACAGCTTTGTTTATTTTGTAATAATGTGAAAAATTTCAAACTTTTCAGTAGAATGTAAAAATAATAAAAACTATAGGAATAACGCTCTATTGAGGGGAAAAGACCACTTCTATCACCAGTCACTTTGGGGCCTGAGGCTCCACCAACATTTGAAGGTCTTTCCAGAGGTATCTTTTCTCCCAGGACAACTCTATCAAATCTAGAATGTTGACTCAACCCCACGCTGATGGAAAGTGGAATTGGCACACGGCTAAATTCGATCTCCAACCCCTTTGCAGTGAGGTGAGGCCATATAACTCGTTATCACCAGTGGGATATAAGCAGAAGTGATGTGTTACTTCTGGACTGAGGAGGTTAACAATGGTTATGGGGACTACCTTGGTGGCACAGTGGTTAAGAACCCACCTGCCAATGCAGGGGACACGGGTTTGAGCCCTGGTCCGGGAAGATCCCACATGCCACTGAGCAACTGAGCCTGTGCGCCACAACTACTGAGCCTGCGCTCTTGAGCCAGTGAGCCACAACTACTGAAGCCCGCGCGACTAGAGCCCGTGCCCTGCAACAAAGAGAAGCCACCGCAATGAGAAGCCCTCGCACCACAACGAAGAGTAGCCCCTGCTCGCTGCAACTAGAGAAAGCCTGCACGCAGCAACAAAGACCCAACGCAGCCATAAATAAATAAATAAATAAACAAATAAAAATCTATATTAAAAAAAATAATGGTTATGGCTTCTCCACATGCTTGCTCTTCCCCATCTGCTGGCAGGATGACACCTGGGCAACCCGAGGCCATGTGGTTAAGATGGCAGATCCACAGCATGAACAGATCCAGATTCCCAAGTTACTTGACTACAAATATTCACATTAGACTATGTGATACATAGTGTTTATCATGTTAAGATGCTGAGATCTGGGGGTTGTCTGTTGCAGCTGTTATATCTACTCTAATATACGAATCAAGGTAATGAGGCCAAAATGGCAAGAAACCAGGCTTAAGGCACCATAGAATTTGGACTGTAACGGATGTAGAAGGCAGAGGGAAGCACATGGGATTCAGAAATTCTTTTTTTTTTTCTTTTGGCCTCGCCGCCCAGCATGCAGGATCTTAGTTTCCTGACCAGGGATAGAACCCATGCCCCCTGTAGTGGAAGCACAGGACCCTAATCACTGGACCACCAGGGAATTCCCGGGATTCAGAAATTCTTTTTTTTTTTTTTTAAAGACAAGACCGCTTTTTAGGTTTATTTTTTATTTTATTTTATTGGCTGCATGGCACAGCATGTGGGATCATAGCTCCCCAACCAGGGATCAAACCCACACCCCCTGCATTGGAAGTGTGGGGACTTAACTGCTGCACCACCAAGGAAGTCCCAGAAATTCCTGATTTGAATATCATACTAGTTCTGTGACTCTGGTCAAGTTATTTAGTATTTCTGAGCCTTGGTTTCTTCATTAATAAAAATTACATAGTATCAATAATAATACAAGCCATTTCATAGTACTGGTTGTGGGGATCAAATCAGTCCAAGAAGGTTAAAAGGCCTTTGAAACCAGAAAGCTACATTGTCATTGGTTGTTATTCCAGCAGTTGACAAATAATGCTTATTTAAAATCTGTTGAATAAATAACTATAAATGAATGAGAATAAATAGATGGATGCGTTCACAGAGCCACATCTTCTCGTCACTAATAAAGGAAGGACTAAGGTGATCTGAACACTTTGAGATTAGAGTGGGTCTGTGAGTCCATGGAGTGAAGGAGGAGCTCCAGGACCTGAGTATTATTGAGAACCCTATACTATACCACCCTTCCACCTAGCCTGAAGAAATAAAGCCAAAGAACTAAGAGGACAAAAGAAAATGGGTTAGGGACCCTAAAGAGAAATCCGAAAGAATCCAACTTTGCCCTAAAATAATGTTAATGTTTTTCCTACTGGTATGGACTGAATGTGTTCACTCAAAATTCATATATTGAAACCCTAAACAGCAATGTGATAGTAGTTGGGGATGGGGCCTTTGGGAGGTAATTAGGGTTAGATGAGGTCATGAGGGTGGGGCCCTCATGATGGGATTAGTGCCCTTATAAGAAGAGATCAGAGAGCTTGTCTTTTCTCATTCTCTTCCATGTGAGGACACGGTGAGAACTCAGCTGTCTACAAACCAGGAAGAGAGTCCTCACCAGGAGCCAAATCAGCCAGCACCATGATCTTGGACTTTCTAGCCTTCAGAAACATGAGAAATAAATTCCTGTTGTTTGTGCCACTCATTCTATGGTATTTTATTATGGCAGCCTGAGGAGACTAAGCAGCAGACTAAGCAGACTAAGACACCTACTTCCCACAGAGTACACAGTTTGGATACACTAGTAACAGCCTACAATGTCTGATGCACCAGCTGCTTCTGTATGTTTGTAAAGCACCCAGCAGAGTGCCTGGCACATGGCAGGCACTCAGCAAATACTAGCCATTATGATTTTCTGTGAAAGCATCTTGTTATATTGGAAAAGGTATGGGTTTCAGAATAAGATTGTTCTGAGAGACCTTGGGCAAGTTACTCTTAGAGTTTCAGATTCTTCCTCTGTAAAATTTGATAGCATCTTGCAGGGTTATTGTGATGATTCAGTGGGGGAAAGGGCCCTCTCAAACAGTAGGCACTCCATTAGTGGTAGCTCCTCAAAACATTCCAAGAGTCCAAGACCACCTTCCATTCAACATTTATTACATATCAGGCACTGGGCTAGATGAAGCAATACCAGAGTTAGGGCTTTTACAAAAGAGAAAAGAGACTTTAAACTTCAGGAAGATAGGATTCATTTTGTAGCACCTTCTTCCACAGCCTCTAGAAAGCTTTCCAAAGATCATGTCACTCTTCCCCCAGCCCCATCAGGAGTCAGCCTGTATTCTGAAAACAGCAACAGTCCCAAGATCTCACAACCTCACTCAGAAGGATTTTTTTTAAAATATTTATTTATTTGTTTGTGCTGGGTCTTAGTTGCTGCTCGTGGGCTCCTTAGTTGAGGCTTGCTGGCTCCTTAGTTATGGCAGGCCGGCTCCTTAGTTGCGGCACGCAGGCTCCATAGTTGTGGCATGCAAACTCTTAGTTGCAGCATGCATGTGGGATCTAGTTCCCTGACCAGGGATCGAACCCGGTCCCCCTGCACTGGGAGCATGGATTCTTAACCACTGAGCCACCAGGGAAGTCCCAGAAGGATTCTTTAATCCCTACAGCTGTCACTTCCACCAGTCTTCACAACATTACTCTCCTTGTTAAAAAATTCTCAGTGACTAACTTCCTACTCCTAATGGGAATCAAGTCCAGATCTTTTAACCTGATGGAAAACACTGGCTACTACAAAACATAAAGCCCGAAATTTTAGTGATTTAACAAAATAGAAATTGACTTTTTGGTCAAGTGAAGTCCAAAACACATGTTCCTGATTAGCAGGTAGTTCTCTGCCAAGTAGTGATTCAGGGAGTTAGGATCCTTCCTACCTGTGGCCCCACGATCTTTAACATTTAGCCTTCAAGTCCACTGTACTTAAGGTCCTATGCATCAAGCCAAAAAGGAAAGAACATGAAGGATCTCCCTTGGGAGGTTTCACAGCGCAGGCATGGAACTGCATCACTTAGAGGGAAACCGAAAAATGTGGTCCAGCTGTGTGTCCAAGAAAAAGAAGGAAAGAGATTCTGATAAACACGTAGCAGGCCCTGCCTCACCTGGCATTCAAGATTCTTCACACCCTGGCTTAAACTTACCTTTCACACTTGATACCATTTACCTTTCAAACTTTATACCATTACCCAGGTATGGCCATTAGTCAGCTTTGCTGCCAGAACAACCAATCCCAAAATCTCAGTGGCTTGCAGCAACAAAGACTGATCTCTGACTTCCGTATATGCAGACCATGGGCAGCACTTCTCATTCGGGGACACAAGCAAAAGGAGCAACCCTCATGTGGAATATGCCCATTTTAGTGGCAGAGAGAAACAAGAAAGTGTAAATTCACATGCTCAAACATGACATGAGTCACATCTGTTCACAACCCATTGGCCAAAACACGAAAAATGATCGAGTCCAAAATCAATGAAATGAGACATATACTCCTTCCACAGGAGATACTGCAAGTCATGCAGCAATGGGCAGAGAAGGAGAAAGTAAATGATTTCAAACAATAAGTCAATCTAATACAACGGCCATCTTCCATCTGGAGTATATGACAGATATTACTGATTAATCCTAGCACTCTTTCCTCAGAATCCTCCTCAACACAACATTTCAGGCAGTCATTATCAATAATCTGAGTTTGGGGAAAAAAAGTTGAGATTGATGTGCTCTTCTTATGACTTCCTAGGCTCCAGTACATGTTATACATTCCCACCGCTGCATCTTTGCTTCAGCCTGGCATAAGCTTATCCTTCTCAGACCCTGTCCTGTTAAACTATCCAATTCCTCCCTCAAATATCTATATTGTATACTTATTGTTTCAACTAAATTTATTGAATACCTAGCATAGTACCTGTCACATCTATTTGTTGAATTAATCTGTTTAACATCACCTTGCACATAAATGTTCAGTGAACACCTGTCCCCTGAATAACAGTACTGTTCCTTAGAACAAAGGGTGTTAGTACTCCATAACAGGAGTTTCTGGGGTGGTAATATGGTGTACTGACTAGCTGTGCTTGAATCCTGATTCTACTACTTACTAGTTGGATAACCCCAGGTAACTCTCTTAATTGTCCGTGCCTCAATTTTCATCATATGTAAAATGGGGTTGATAATAAGGCCTACTATATAAGACTGTGATATTAAATGGAAAAATCCTTAGCATAGTTTAAACACATGGTAAACACCTAGTAAATGGAAGTTGTTATTATTTTTAGCTCCAGCTGAGACTGAGTAGGGGGAGCAGGATGCCCAAGCCTTTATTCTGGGTGGAAGACAAAAACCAAGAACAACTGAGACTTGGGTCCCTGAACAGGCCTCACTCTGAACCCAACCCAGGACCTTGAGCCATCTCTGCAACCACCAGCTTGTTCCATAACTCATAAATCCTGACTAATGACACAGACATGTCACCTTAATGTTTGTGAAGCCCAATGACTTATTGTTAAGTGCTTGGAGATCTTCAGATGAAAGGCACCCAAGGGCAGGCACCAGCCACCCTATTCAGTCATAAAAGCAAAATACTACCCCAAAACTTGGAAAAGGCAGAGGCTCCGTAACAATGCAGCAGAGAATTAAATCAGGCACCCAGGAAGATCAAATCCATCTTTAGACTGTAATCCCTATTACGGAGACAGAGAGAGATCATTTTGAATGCCTCAGACTACTTGGAGGGTCCAGAGCAGGTAGGGGGCGCAGGATGCCCAAGTCTTTAATGTGACTGGGTGGGGGTGGGGGTGGGGGTGGGGGGGATGGGGGGCGTGTGGGAAGAGTGTGAATCTTTCACTTCTAAACAAAAGCACATGGATTGTTATCCTAATTACTTCAAACCAGTTAAGAGGCTTGGGCAAACTAGCCCCACAAGGGTCTTGTTTCTGAATTGTGATCCGTCCTGAATTATGCCAGGTTCCCTTTTCAACTTGATTCTTCTCACTTCAGCTTCCCCCTCTCCCCACACCACCACGTCAGCCAATGTATCCTCCTCCTGGACCTAGAGGCCATTCCAGGGATGCCCAGGCCAGGACTGTGAGTACTGGCAGGCCCCTGGCAGTGAAACCTTCAAGTTGGAAAAAAACGGTCAGCGGTGCGCACAACACAGTTTTTACAGGGGCTGTCCCTGAGGTTGAAGCAAAGGAGAACCAGCTACCACAGCTGTTATACAGTTTCCTATCCCCTAAATGGTACGTAGGTGTGATGTAGTGGCGAGAGCACTTGGAGTCGTGCAAACCTACCATCTCATAGCTTTGATACTTTAGACCGGTTCCGTAACCGTTCTGGGCTTTAGTTTCTTCATCTGTAAAGGGTGGATAACAAAACTGCCTACCTCGCAGGTTGGTGTTAAAAGTAAACGGGAGCGCGTACCCGAACTCGTTCGGCCCTCTCAGAAGTATTACTGTGGGGGCGTTAGAGCCGTAACTCCTCCCCACCCCCCAAGCACGCACGGTACCAATCAGCAGTCGCCACTCATATAGCCTGCCCCCTCGCAAGGACTCTTGGGCTGTGAAGTCCTTTGCTGGCCACACCCTCGTTTGCTGCCGCGGAAGTGAGAACTACGCCTCCCAGGATGCGGCGGTGACGCCGCTACCACAGCCGCCCTCTACTCCGCCCTCCTTGCGCACAACCTCCTGGCACATGTAGTCCCAGATATGCTCAATCTCGCTGGCAAAAAACGCGCGGAGGAACCACAAACCCCAGAAGCCCTCGCGCCCACCCTTCTCCCTCCCTCTCTCGGAGCCGAGTGCTGTTTTTGTTGTTGGTGAAAGGTGAGGGGACAGCTGATCCGTCGGTGGGGTAAGAAACTTGGCCTAATTTGGGGGCGATCTTATGGGGGATCCCCCCACTTCCCAGTCTGTGAAAGGATAATCTAAGGGAACCGTAGAAGGGGGAAGCAGGAGCGTTTGGGTGTTAACACTTTCCGTACTGGAGAAGCCACCCCGCTGTTTCGGGAGTTCTTGGTCTCAAGGGGGCCCTGATCAGGGGCTGCCCCCTGGCTGTTCTCGCCTCCCTCTCAGTCCTTCTCTATAAAGCTTGATAGGCCTAAGGGAGTTGTGAGGGAGGCTTAAGTCGGCTCGTTCTCGGCCCGGCAAGACTTGACCCCACAAACCTTCCCTTACCCCTAATCCCCCAAACCGCCAACCCCCGCGCCCCGCCACCAATCCAAAGGCCTTTACCACGCTGAATCCCTTGGCGCGGGGGAAGCTTCCAAGGTGTAGAGTGTCAAAGAACTCTAGAGCCCTACAGCGTGGGGGAGATGGGGACACCCCCCTCCCCGCCCCATGCAAACACCTGAATCTGGCTACACATATACACCTTAGTTGCCCAGAGCTCTCATTCAGGCGTGGGGGATATTTCCAGCTTTTTTGAATTTTGTTTGTGGGGAATAGTTGGGGTCCCCAGGACAATGTCTTTGAGGACAGTTCACCCCCTCTTAGAAAGCCAGAAGAATTGTATTTGGAAAAAAACATGGACTAGTTTTAACTAGGGATTTTTCAGAGAGATGAAAATTCAGAGAAACTTCTTGTCGTCAATTCAGTCTCTATTTTGGAGGGAGAAGTAGCTCCTTTTTGTAGAGCTGTCCCACCTTCCCTTCTTTACTGATTTTCTGTCCTCTTTTAAAGTCCCTACCCACCTGGCTTCAGCCTGGTGTGGGTTTGTGATGTTTGGGGGCGTGCACATGACTAGTGGCCATGTTTGATTGGACGTGCATTACTGTGACTGACACAGGACAAAGCTCTGTGGGCTGGAGATGAGAGATGACAAGGGCCATCTCACAGCCCTGGGCTTAGAAGTTCTCTTGACTGTTGTTATCTTTCCTCACCCTAGCCTCCTATTTTCCATTGAACTCTCCCCACCTAACTTGGAACGCTTCGTCTTAATCCCATCCTATAGCATGCCTCCAACTACCAATCCAAGCAGATGGAAGGGTTCAGGCACTTAGAACTGAGGCTAAGGGGAGCAGAGAAAATGGGGGGGAGGGGAATACTAGCGATGGGTTAACGAACCGTCAAACCAGTAGGTTTCTAGCCCTGCTCCTGGCAAGACCTGAAGAGAAGAATATGAGGTTCTTTTTGAACCATTTCTCCTTCTCTCAACATTATGTGTACATTTCCCTTCCCGGGGCCCCTTACTTCCAGGCTGTTCCTACCCGGGGGTGGGGCTTTCCTGGCTCCAGGCCCCCACATTCCATCTCCCCGCAGCACCACGTTCCTGCTGAGTGTTTCACTCCACCCTTTGAAGCAGCCGCCTCCAGAATTCTTGACTTCCTGGAGGAATGAGTGAGGGAAAGAACCTATCTTTCCTTTTATCCTCCCTTTCTCTTTGTTTCTTGGATGAGAGTGCGGGCTTTTTTTTTTTTTTTTTGCTCATGGCGGAAGACAGCTGAGAGACGGGGAGAGAGGGTGAGAGTTCAGTGGCTTGAAGATTGGTCTCTTCGTACCCCCAGCCATATTCCAGCTCCAAAGACTCAGTCGTTACTTTCAGAGAGAGTTGCTGTTTTCAGGTGTCCTAAGTCATTCCTGGGTATAGCTGGAGTGGGCAAGGAGGCCTGCTCAGAATGAGGGGGCCCCCCGCCTCAGTTAGATGTTGAATTCAAGAGCCAGAAGATGTAGGGGATGGGGTGGGGAGATGGAGGCTGAAGAATTTGGAATGGTCAAGGCTATTAAGAGATGGAAAAGGAGGGACTACAGGAGGCCGAGCCTGGGAGACTGAGGCTTGGTCAATGGGGCTGTGAAAAGGGAGCAGAAATTAGAGAGCTCTTACCTCTAGGGATAAGTCTGTGACTCAGAGGGTACAGTGTGAGCCAGGATGGGTACTGACCCAGAAGGCCAGACCTATGCCCTAGAGACTAAGATTGATACCTCTAGAGGGTCCTAAACCCTCAGGGGCTGGAAACCAGATACGCCTTCATCTCCAGGAGCAGGGGCTGTGGGTGGGGACAGAGTTGGGGGGCAGAGAGGCAGAGGGGAGAGACTTCAGGATATTCAATCTTCATTTCATAGGAGGGCAGCCATCTCAGGGCCAGAATGGAAGAATCATCGCTAAGCCGGGCACCATCCCGGGGTGGAGTCAGCTTTCTGAATGTGGCCCGGACCTACATCCCCAACACCAAGGTGGAGTGTCACTACACGCTCCCCCCAGGCACTGTGCCCAGTGCCAGCGACTGGATTGGCATCTTCAAGGTATCCCTGGATCCCCTTTTGGCTCAGGCTTACGGGCCATGGGTTGTCTGGAATAAGGGGAATGATTTGGTTTCTGAATTCTCAACCTCATGATGATAGAGAGGAAGGGAGAACGATGTCACAGATGACAAGGCCATGTGTGTAAGCAAAGCCCATCTCCCCATCTTAGCCTTGCTCTCTCCTGACATACTAGCATCCCTCCACTTTCCCTGTCTCTCAGCATCCTTGCCACTGCAACACCATCCTACCCACCCCTGGTTCAATCTCAGCCTTTTCCACCTTCCGGAGCTGGGAGTTGCATCACTATACCCCTCTCCCACCGTGGGCTTTGACAGGTGGAGGCTGCCTGTGTCCGGGATTACCACACGTTTGTGTGGTCTTCAGTGCCTGAAACTGTAACTGATGGTTCCCCCATCCATGCCAGTGTCCAGTTCCAAGGTACAAGGGAAGAGGGAAAACCGGGAGGGAGGAGTCAAGGGGATGGAGGTTTGGAAGAGGGTAGTGGTCTCAGCCGATACAGAATCATGGGATTTTCAAAGAATCAGGGATTCAGACAAAAAAGGAACTGTAAAAGGGCCGCTAGTCCTGCCTCTTACCAAAAAAGGAGGAACTCTTCTTGTGGGACTAGGGGGTAGGGAAGAGGGAAAAGTGGCTTCATATGTTAACAAGAAGATGGTCATTAGATTTTGAAAGACCCAGGTTCAAATCTCAGCTCTAATTACTTACAAGCTGTTTGACCTTGGGCAAATTATTTACCCTCTCTGTGTCTGTTATCTTAACAGTAAAAGGGGATGCCTGGCTTACAGGGACAATATGAAAATTTTAAATGGTACAGATAAAGCTGTTAGCAAAGTGCCTGGTATGTAATGGGTATTCAAAAAATGGTAACTAGCATTGTTGTTGTTGTTGTTGTTGTTGTTATTATTATTAAGGAGGGTACGTTTGGGAAAGAGAGGAAAAAGAAGGCTAGGCAGAAAGGAGGGAGAAGAGTATCCCAGAGATCAGAAATAGCCTGTGGGAGGTGGAGAGGAGAGAGAACAGTCTATAGAACAGGTAACAAGGGGCTGGGGCCAAAGACAATGGATAATAAGACACATCAAGGGGAGGGGGAACCTGCTGAGCACTTGAGGGCCTGGGATCATATTGGGGTCCTGGGTCTGTACTTCTTCCCACAGCCAGCTACCTGCCCAAACCCGGCGCCCAGCTCTACCAGTTCCGGTACGTGAACCGCCAGGGCCGGGTGTGTGGGCAGAGCCCCCCTTTCCAGTTCCGAGAGCCACGGCCCATGGATGAACTGGTGACCCTGGAGGAGACTGACGGCGGCTCTGACATCCTGCTGGTTGTTCCCAAGGCAACTGTGCTGCAGGTGAGAGCAGAGCAACAGAGCTGCTCCTGGGCGAGGGTGCCGGAGGATAGCATTGCAAGGGGCCCCTTCCCGCTTCACCCTCCCCTCGCTGTAGCTTCAACTGCAGACCTCACTGGGAGTTATACAAAGCCTTGCCTACAGGAAAGTCTCAATCTGACACAGACAGACACGAACACATAGGGTAGGAAAGCAAGCCACCCACAGGCCAACATCACTCAAGATTTCCTAAGAATTTGTTGAGGCTTCCTTCTCCAGGAGCCTTCCCTAGGCGCTAGAGGAAGATGCAAAGGGTAGAGGGAGGCCACGCAGGGAAGGAACACTGCAAGGAAGGGGAGGATGAGACCCACTTCCACGCAAGTGAGGAGTGAGAACAGATCAGCAGGGCCCCAGGCCTGCGCAGCCACTACCCACATGTGGCTCTTAAGCGCTTGAAATGTGAGTGGTCTAAATTGAGGTGTTCTGTATGGATAAAATACACACCAGATTTGAAGACTTAGTATTTAAAAAAAGAATGTAGGGAACTCCCTGGCGGTGTACTGGTTAGGACTCCACACTCTCACTGCCGAGGACCTGGGTTCACACAAGCTGCGTGGCACAGCCAAAACACACACACACACACACACACACACACACACACACAATGTAAAAGATCTCAGTAATTGTTTACATTGATTACATGTTGAAATAACATTTTGGATTGACTGGCTTAGATAAATGAATTCCATCTGCTGCTTACTACTTTTCTTAAGTGTCTACTAGAAAATTTTAAATTATTTATGTAGCTTGTATTATTTTTCTGTTGGACCAAATAGAGAAGAATTAGGG